TGTTGGAAAAAAGCAGGATAGCTTGAATAAACTAATCTTCATTAGTAGCACTCAGCAAGAGAAACAAGGGTTTGGAGAGAAGGGACCAGGAGACAAGTGAAAGGGAATTCAAGACTTTTATTTTATTAGCCGCACAGGGCTCTGTTCTTTTTACAACAAATGAGCTAATTAGAAGTTGGGCATACGCAGTGGGAGAACAGGGAAGAGTGAAAGAGCTGAGATTTCACTTTAGTGTTGATTTCATGTAATCTAAATATAATGTTAATCTCCTGACTAATTTAAATACTTGATTGCACTTGATAAGATGGTTAGGACTTCGCTGTGTTGGATGTGGTCCAACTGGGATAGTCTGTTTGTCAGGCTCAAAAAAGTTCTGTGATGATTTAGCTGGAAAATAATAGAAACTAGTTTGTGTCGCTACATGAGTCTTTTACTGTGGTTCAGTATTTGCAGTTACGAATAGCTTTGGTGATCTCTGCTGTGGCCGTGCTTTGCTGCCATTGCTGGCTTGAGGAAACTTTGGGTGATGCCAACTAAGCGTTGCAGGCCCTGGTTTCAGGGTTCAGGAGGGTGTCCTGGCATGTCTGCACTTGTGCATCCCTAGCTAGTGTCATGGCCCTGTAAAAAAAACTTGCACATTTTCTGCAAAGGATACTGTGGGATATTAGAAAAATATAACATTTCCCGTCCTTTTTTTTTGCCATGATAAAGAATAATTGATGACCAGCCAGCACAGAGACATCACCTGTGATTTTATTCTGTCCTAATCCAAAGACCGACCCAAGATCAAGCTCGCCTGTGTGGGCCTGGAGCTATTTCTGCTTCCGATCAGTTTGCCTGATAGCTGGTCTATGGGACAAGATCCAGCATGATGCACCTTGCAGTTTTTCCATGGAAAAAGCAACATATACCCCCGTTAACCGTTGAGTTTCTTAGGAGCAGGCAGTAATTTGTCCTTATACTGACAGGGATATTGCAACTTCTAGTCTTCCACAACCACTTTTCTGGGGGATAGGCATATTTTCATACTTCCTAATTCCCTGCTTATTCCAAAAATAGATCTATATTTTATATTTCTGCACACTTAATTTGAACTTTTATTTTGCTTACATAGTAATGAAAGCAGTTTACATAATAATTCTCTTGCTCCCTTGACAGTCCTTATTGCCTAGACATGCTGTTTTTTGTTACCTTACATGAACCATTAATTGGAATCTGATGTTCTTGGCAGGAGTACAGTCACAAATGACAGTGTCATACATCTGTGCTTACTGTGGGGGGAGTGTCTCAATTTTAAAATGTGAGCAGAACCTCCAAATAAAGTCAGTCTTAGAAAACAATTTCGGATATAGTCTGTTGTTGCAATATACAGGAAAATAAACAGTTGTTCAAAAAGTAGTTTTCCCAGAATTTCACTGGGAGTATCTTTTTAGATGCCTAGGTGTTACTATTTTCTAGATCATTCTCTACACTTCTTGAGGCAAATTACCAGCTTATGCTTTACAGTTGTACAGCACTGAGTGCAACAGAGTCCTGCTCCATGGCCAGGCCTCCAGGATATAACAGTAGTAGAAACAGATATCCACACAGCTGCTGTGCCAGCATTCACATCTTTTACTCTTAATTTCATCTAACTACAAAACAACAACATGGTTATTGTTGAAAACAAGGTGTTAGTTGTTTTGCTGCAAAATACAGGGAAGTTTCCTCCTCACAAAGAAGAAAATCCATTAATGGCAGAACATTCATACTGATGGATGACAGTGCGAGGCTTTGCTCCCAACAGGGTTTGGCTTGGTGGAAAACGGCAATGTCCTTGTTTCAGACCTGTCATCTTCTGATTGGGGTGGTGGTGTTAAGTCGTTAAAAAAGTCCTCAGCTTGTCCTAGTTTTTATAAACAACCAAAGCAAACTGAGAACTGAGAACTCTCAGCCCCTGGATGTGATGGCCATGGTGGCTACCATGGTCACAAGTGCCCAGAGATCAGATGTCACTCGGGATGCTGAAGCCATAGCCTGATGTATATTTTAATCCAGCACTGTTCTCAGAAGAAGGCATTTTGTCATTTCCCCAGCTTGGTCACCTTCCCCACTCTGCTCATTCCCTGTCCCAGCTCACGTTGTCCTTCAGCCTGGCAGCAAGTTGGACTGGGGCTGCCCTCTTCTCAGGGTATGCATGGCCACGTACACCCAATAGCCAGAACCTGGTGCTCTCTTCATCCATTTCACGCATCTCTTGGTGAACACCTTGTGAGCCTCTGTTAAAAGGGACTGTAGGTCTTCCTTGCCACAAGCCTACCCACTGGTGTTCTGCTTGCTGTCTTGGAAAAGCTGAGCAGTGTTACCCTTTCTCCGAAAGCCCGTTAGAGATGCTTTCATGGAAGAGATGTAGCTGCTGCCATTTACACAGTTACTTCAGTGCCTGTAAAATCCAAAGATCTGGAGATGAAACCAAGAGCTGACACAACTTAGAGTTGAGATAGGATGGGGGGAATATAAAAAAGAGTTTGTGAATTCCTTCTAGAGGAGTTAAAACTTTACTTTTGGGTGAGCAGGAGTATTCAGGTGCCTCAGGGGCCCTCCCGGCATTGCTGACACCCCAGGGGACCTGCGCTTCTGGAGGAGGTTTCCAAACGTGAATCCCCGGGTCTTGCTCCTGGATTGTAATCGTGTTATTAGCTTCTTGCAGGAAGTACCAAAAGCAGAATCAGGCTGCGAGCAGTCCAGACAAAATGTCTGCGCCTTGCTTTAATGGCTGTACAGAGATATCTGAAGTGGGCATCGAGGGTCGATCTTCACACCTGGTGTTAAACCTCATTTTTGTTTTAAGAAAAGGCAAAAAAATGCCTATGCTGTACCAGGGCTGCCTTCAGAGGATGTTTGCCATTGTTTTCCTCGCTGCACATTCATCTTTCTAGCATCTGTCTTGGATTGACTGCCTCAGAAAAGGCATTTACAAGTAGAATTGAAGAGAAGTGTACTTAAAAGCCAAACATGGGTTGTTTGTTGTAAAGCAGCCGATAGATAGTTGGCAAGACACCAAAAGGTCCAGACACTAATCTAATTGTTTACAGCTCATGGAGAGATTAATCCACAAGATTGGATGCCCTCATTTCCTTTACGCATTACAATGAATGTGTGAGATGCCAAACCCCATGGGGCAGCAGCAGAAAGAAAAATGGCTCCGTTTCAGTGCAGTTATTGTTTCAAGTTCAGAAATATATTGATTCTCTTTGGGTTTTGATAAGAATATAAATGCAAAGTGCCTTGCTTAATATCAGAGTATTCTTGTTGCCTAGCCTCAGTAAAACAGAATCATGTTTTCTTATTTTAGTGTCATATAATGCTCTGCAAAATTCAGATCAAACATACGAAATAAAATGCATTGAATACACCGTGAAAATGGCCAGGATACACTCGCTGGTTTGTGAGGGCACCGAGAACTGCAAATGCTCTGTGTCTCCGAAAAATGGGCAAGCCTACCCGCGAATGTCCAGGCTGGTCAGCTCTGAAAATCTTGGCTGCTGTAAGATGCCGTACATTGGAACAGAAGCTCTGCAAAGAGAAAAAAGCAGCGCCAGTATCGCTTGGGTGACCAGTGAGAATAAAACAAACACTGCTGAGTGGCTGTTGCAAGCCGGGTTTCTGTGAAATAGGCTTTCTCTGAACTGAAAGTGGAGCTCAGGAGCAAACAGTACTGCGGGGCTATAAACACTTTGCAGAGGGAGTGATTCAGTGAGACGGAAACATGGCTAATCTGCAGGGTATGCCCCTGCCTCCCTCCGCCCCCCTGCATCGCCGTGACAGCAACGCGGCCGCGCAGCCGTGCCGGGACGTGCTGCGCCGGCTGCCTGGCACCGAGGGTAGCGCGGGGCAGTGGGCTTTGTCCTGGAGAACGGGGATGGCTCATCCTGGTGATCCCGGTCGCGCTGCCAGCGATGCTGAAGGGAGTCGCCCCTTCTGCCGGCAAGGAAAATCACTGTGACTTCAGCCAGCCGGCTGGGGCATGCTACCTGGAGACCAAATAAGTAACGCCTTGGTCTTGCAGACCCGTTAACCTCTGACTTACTGGAGCAGAAAAGTTCACAGGTGAAGTGTGTGTACGTGTTTGCAGGTCAGCCAGCCTGTGAGCTGGTTGCTGGTCTTCATGATATTTTGTTGATGAAATTTTGCTACAGTTGCAAAGAATTTTCAAAAAGCTAATGGGATTGAGGTATATTTATTCCCGATGTTGCAATATCTGGCACATTTGGGGGAAGAAAATTAATATCCTGAACTAGTCTTTGCAGTGTTTCTAATTCCTTGACTAAGCACGTCCTCATATATCATTTTACTGTACCAGCTTTTGGGAAGAAGAGAATGTTTTGCTAGTCAGGACTTGTTTTGACTTAGTTTTTAATAATATCAGTCAGCACCATGTTGCCTGAAAGTCTGAATCTGACAAAAGTTTAGTTTTAAATGGGCTGCTTTTATGAGGTCATGTGTAGACTCATTGCTCCTGAATCAAGATCATAAATGTGTAATTTTAATAACATACAGTGAGAATAAGCATTTGCATATCCTTGGAGAAATTGTTCTCTGCTGCATAGTTCAGCTATTTCTGCTATGACGTGGAGGGGGCATCTCAAGATTTGCACATTGCTTAAAATATTGTACTTTGCAAGGGAGGGTATAAAAAGACACAGTGCCAGTAATTATTTTTTCTCCGTAGTGCAGTACCAAGGTAGAGAGTAACAGTGCCAAGCATATTCAAAGCCAGGATTTATGTGGTGCAAAAAACAGTTTGTGTGTCGAGTTGAAAGCTGGTCAGCACTGTATTTGAAAGGTAAACGAGGGACTGATGAGAGAGGTGTAACTGTGTAGCACGGTTTCATTCCTCTACTTCCCAATTATTTTTTGTATTTTGGGTGTCTTATGGAGCAGTCAGCATAGGAGGGTCTTGATAAAAGGTCAGCCACGGGTTGCTGTTCTGTCCATCAGAACCGGTGCTTCTTCTGCAGGGAGTGGAGCGCATTGACCTGCCGGGACTCAGGAGCCTGCGCACCGCCCGCAGCCTGGAGCAGGGCATGGTGCTGACCATCGAGCCGGGCATCTACTTCATCGACCATCTCTTGGACCAAGCTCTCCGTGATCCTGCACAGTCCTGTTTCATCAACAATGACGTCCTGCAGCGCTTTAGAGGATTTGGGGGGGTGAGTAATTCTTAACCAGATGGTTTTCTGAAATTGGTTTTCTTTTTGTTTGCCTTTAGTAGGTACTTGAGAAGAACTGTTTTGGAAGTTGCAATGTATTGCACATAAGGCTGCTCCTGAAGCAGCACTTTGGGCCATTTGACCCTGCAGACAAACTGGCTTGTTCTTATTTTTAAATGCTGTTTTATACTTGTGATATCTAATTAACGAGAGACACATATTTTTTCATTGATTGAAATTCCTTCTGTCGGCACTGTACAGTGACTTGCCAGGTAGGTGTTTTGTCTAATGTGTCAAACATCTGTGTTATGGAATATGAGACTGTGAGCCTTATTCCAGAGTTAGCGTCCTTGACAGCAGCACAGTTCGGTGCTCCCTCCCAGGGCAGAAGAGCCTGATGCTCTTTACATCAGGGAGGCAGTAGAGAAAAATGGCAGTAACTGCTCTTACTGGACTATTGCCAGAACGGAGTGAAACTTGTGAATGTAAAGCCTTCCCTGTTTTCCAAGGGAATGGCCAGTGGTCTTCAGGAGCGCTCATGCTCAAGGTATCCCACTGCAGGCTTAGGCAGCAGTGTACACGCAGGAAGGTTGGATGACCCGGGTGGTAGCTGTGATCTGGGCGATCGTTCCCATACAGGCAGCTGCTGTGCAAGTGGAGGGGCCTTGTTTCTTCATGCTCGCCAGGGCACATGTCCCATTCAAAGCCACCACCCTCACTGAGCATTTAGCAGTCGCAGTGGCTTCCAGTGGGTTTTCTTTTTAGCGGGGTGAGCGTTTGAAGGGTGCCACATTGTTCTCCAAGCTTCCGTATTCATGCACAGAGAAGATAGAGCAGGCAGCTGCAATGCCCCGTCCTCCTCATGGCTTTTCTGCTAAGTCTCAACACGGCTAACAATCACTGGCAACAGCAGTGATTTTCTGGTATGAAAAGTCACTCATTAGGAATTGTCTGCCGCTGCCATCGACTAATTCATCACTGTACGCCAGCCATGAGAGGGTAATTACTCTAACGCTCTTGGTCTGAGCTGGCTTTGAACCACCAGCCCCGACAGAAAAGCTGTGTGTGCCATCACCAGTCGTGTGAGTCAGCCGGGCTCCTGGGCAGCCGCCCGTGGAGGCTCCCCATACGACGTGTGTGCAGCCTTATCGAGAGACGCGGGACTTTACCCTCGCAGGTATTTAATTCACTGCTGAGGTTTGGGTTGTTATCTGTCTCTGTGTTGTTTCTTTATCAAGACTTGCCAGCCAGCCGACTGAGATACTGATGAACGAAAGGCAGCTAACTCTGCATTTTCTAACCGTGAGCATGTTCTATATGGCGCCGCACGCTGAAGCATATTTTAAAGAAACGCAGTAATGCGCTTGTGTAGCTTGACACCGCAACGAAAACAGGTTTAACTGTCTTTGCTTTCCTTGTAAACACTCTGTGGGAGTTTTTCAGCAGTTGAATTGATTCCTGGTGAGCTTTCTCTGGAAATGCTCAGTAAAGCCCCCTCCAGTTTTTCCATGACTTGCTGTAAATGCCCACTCCAGCTCTGCAGCTTGAGGTACGCACGTGGCTCACTTTCTGCCTGTGTTTGCTTGGAATAGGAGTGACAGCACAGGATCTTTACCTGGGTAATAAGTTGCTGGATCAGGCACTTTTGTTCCAGAGGTTTCAAACAAAAGTCTAACTTTCTCTCTGGTTTTTTGCTTAGCTTCCTGTAATGATGACTTGTAAGGAGAACTAGCCAACAAACTTTGCTCAAAGGGAGAGCTGCCCAAAAGCGATTGAGCAAAAATCTAAATCTCCGATCCCCCTGTGAACAATACATTTTACTTAGAAAAAAATAGTAATACACACGTACCCTGAGCCAGATGTTGTCACTTGATGTTGTCCAGGAGAAGAATGGAAATAAAATCTGAGACTGAAGTACATCCGAATATTTCTGATTTCTACACAAAAGCTGAATTATAATGCAATCAAAATTAATTTTTCCATCTTTCAAATTCTGACTTGATTCTGCATAAATATAAGGCACAATTTTTGCTGTGTAGTGAGCTTAGTTATCTGCATGCCAGTTCATTCTAGTTTATTCAAGATGAGTGAGTATTTCTCTCAAAAGCATGTCAGAAAACTTTCTCTCTATGTGATTAAAAAAGATCTTGTGATGCCCAGTGCTTTTATTGACAAGTATTAATAGTACAGGGGTTAGTATTGGTGTCAGTTCTAGCTAAAGAGCTTACTACAGCTGGTCCAATCTTCCTCTATGTTTAAAAGAAAAATACATTCTACAAAAGGAAATAAGTAATCCATTTCCCTCTGCAGAGCTCAGCACTAATTAAAATGTTCTTAATTTGGTTTCGTTTAATTCACTTCAAAAATGCACTTATATTAACCAAAGTAACACCACTGTAATTCTGAGTAAGGCTGTCCGCACAAGGGATTTGTGGATTTTAATGAATTCACCTTGAATTCATGTCTTTTTTGGGCTTTGGATAATTTTCCTGACTGTGACAAGTCGCTACATTGAGAACAGAAGTTCTTTTGCTGTGCCAAAAAGGGCAAGACTTGTAGCCATTTATTGTAATTCACGGTGCCCAGCATTAACCATAAAGAGACTGTAAACGCTGCAAGAGCAGGAAAGAATGAGAGACAGCACAAGGTTTCCCTTCGCCCGCCCTGCGTTGCGGCCGGCGTGCGGGGCATGTGCTCCCGCGCGCGCCGGATGGGTCCGCCAGCAGCCCGGCCTCCCTGCGTCCCTCTAACACAGGCACCCAGGCTTCGTGGCTGTCACTGCTGCAGGGAGCTTGTAATTTGGGCTTTTACCAAACGAGAGCTGTTCCGGGTCACGTACAGATCGCTCTGGAGGAGGCAAGGAGTTCTGCTAGGGGACCTGCTTCTGAGAGCACCGGCTGCCCTGTCTGAAGCCCTAAACTCTTTACTTGGCAGCCGTTGAGTTTAGTCCTTCACAAGCTTCCTCAGCCAGTTTTGGGAAGTTGCTCAGTCACACGTGCTTCAGTTCTCCGTCTGCAAAACTAAGGACCAATCTACCGAGGTCTTAAATTCTGTGGGGCAAGGGCTGCCGTCGGGTGCTGGCGCAGTGCCCGTCCCAGGGCACCCCTGCTCTGCCTGGACTCTGCCCGTGCCGCTTTCATAAATAAAGATAGGTGTGTGAATGGAGGGGTGTGTGTACGGTTGTGTATATTGCTCAGGAACAGCAGCCGATTCCTCAGGGAAGGGAAGTGCCGACTGCAAGTGCTGCCCTGTAGGGTTTGACATTTCCATTCTTCATAAGCTGATTACCGATTCATGTAGTTCATATGATGTTTTCTCAAAGACCAGTAAAACTGTTCAATCTTTTTTTGGCCTTATTCAGTCTCTGTTCAGGCTTTATTTTACCCCAGGATTTGTAGAACTAGCAGTAGACTTAATATATGAAAACTCCATGCAACTTAGAGAAAATGCTCAGAGACAGATAAATGTTGAATACATTATTTCATTTGCAGATCTTTTTTTTTTTCCATTTAAAAGTTAAATAGATTTATAAAGCCCAGGACCTTGAAGATTTGCTAATATTACAATATTTTTCAAAACAATAGTACTTCCCTTAATCAGGGAAGTAACAAATGTTAAACCAAATAAAAAGCAGGATATTTAATTGCTTCTACCTTTGGTTCACAGAGCCATGCAGTTGTCTCTGTCCTGATTTTTATTTTTCAGAAGGTTGAGCTCTGCTTTTGGGTTTATGGTGAACGTGTGTTGTGGAATGAAATAGTTTACTAGGCAATAAACGTTATCAAGCTCATCTGCTTTTTAACATTTCATATTATGCAGCAGTAACAATGCTACGCAGCATTTTTTTTTTAAAGTTTTCATAGAATAACAGTTGTCATAATGAAATACATAGCTTGCTTTACAGTTCTTGTAGGAGAAGTGATAGTTATAGGCAACCCAAAACCAGCGACTAGTTCCTTATAAACCTTCTTTAACCTTTTTCTCTTGTCTAATTAACATCATCGGGTTAAAGTCAGAGCAGTTGTTTCTAACCTGTATTTAGCTTATAGTTTATTGCTTCTTCTTGAGTCTGGATGAAGGGACTGTGTGGTGAAGCTTCTTTTTCCAGCTGTATCTGTTAATCTAATAAATTACATGGCCTCACCCTACTAATCTTGATCTTCTATTATAAAATATTTATACGTGGACCTTTAAAATAAAGTGTGCCTGACATGAGGACTTCCTTGTGCATAAGAAGAGGGAAGACTGGTAGCACGGGATAAGAAAGAGTCACTGTTGTAGCACAGAGCCTGTTGGCCTCTATAGAAAATGTCTTGGCATTGCCACTTCATATAACACGGGAACAGTAAAGTGCCTTCCCCAGCCCTGCAGCGTACCTGCCTACCCTGGGTTTGACGTAAGGGCAGCTCTATCTCCTAACCAGTGCCCCTGAAATACAGAAGTTGAACCCTGCTCATGGTAAGTTTGCTCTATTAAAAATTACTGGTGAGTTGATGGCTGAGTCAAAATAAGCCCCCTTGGCTACATGCATCTGCCGCTGTAGGATGTCAGCTATGAAAACAGAGACGTGGATCCTTCAGCCGGACAGAAGCACATGTGCTAATTTACTTTGTGGGGTAGCATGTGTGGTCCACATCCTGCCGTCATTTCCCAGGCAACTCTCCTGCTCTAAGTTCTTGCAGTGGTAGTATTGCTGCTTTCCACAGCCACAATCAAACAAATGCTCAATAGATTAAAAAAAGTGAGATATGTCACCAGTGGTCTTTTTTAATCACATCTGGGATCTGTCATCATGCAAATCTGGACTATTTAATTGGCAAAAATTGTTTCTTGATTCTCAAAAGCCTTTTATACATATCATCATCCAAAAGAAATGAATGAGTGCTACAACCCCCTTCCCTTGGAATATAACACAGGAGACTCTGGGGAGCATGACTATTAGTAAGTCAGGACAAAGTGCGAGGCTGTATATATAGCTGACAGCAGCCTTGGTATTTAACTGCTGTGCTGTCCTTGGCTATGCCCGCACAGCCCTGCTTTGGGGCAGAGTTGGGTACATTGAGTCGAGCCACGTGATGGTCTGTTGCTGGCGTTGGGCAGTTGTGCAATCAGGTCTATCTAGACAGATCATGCCACTACCCTTGATAAGAAAAAGGCATTTTAGAGACGGTCCTGGCATTCAGAGTGCTTTTTGAACCATGCCATTTCACACTGAAAAAGCAAAGCGCCCTAAAAGCTGCTGGTACAGTGAACCTCACACCTCGGTTTGCTGTTCCTTTAAGCCGTGTCCGATTCCAAAGCACTCTGTAGCCCTGAAACAAGCAGCACTGTTGAACAAGGAGCCTGCAAACGGGGACAGCTCTGAGAGCAAGTTTCATAACCACTGTCCCCCATTGGGAAAGGCAGTCCCAAGCCAGTGAGCTTTGCCAGGCAGATCCAGCATCTTTTGTCCATTTGGACAGAAGACAAGACTAAATGCCGGGTTCTCCTGTAGGAAGGTTTTGCAGGTCCTCTGAAGCTGCTGCTTGCTGTTGCTGAGTTTAAGCTCAGGGTGAAGCATAGAGGGTGAGAAGAGCAAATGCAAAAATTGCCTCCCCCTTGAGAACCTGTGCTCCTCTGCACTTGTGTTGCTTTTAAGCAAAGGAATAATGTGCACTGAGATTGGGAAGTTTGTGTTCTCTCTTACAGCAAGCACCCATTTCAGGTTAGATTCATCCAGGCAGAGGAACAGTTAAATCCTGGAGAAAGAGCTGGGCTTTCCTAGGAGTAATGGGTGAGACTCCATGAGAGTGGTGGGTCTGTGCACCTCCAGCTACATCCTGTAGACCATTTGTAGTTGCTGACAGTGAGCAGGCTGGTGAGACGGTGCTGGCTCTCCCACTTCCCACAGCTATCCACAGCTGTGGATTGATTATATGATCCCTTACAATCTTTCTGTGGTACGATGAGTTACTGTGTGTGGCACTCCAAACTGATGGGCTCCAGCCCACCCTGTGCTTTCCTCATTCAGGGTCTCTTGCTTCCCACCTCCACAGAGATCTTCCTTTCTGGACTCCTTAGCCAGCCTCATCTCTCTTTGTCCCTTCATCCCATTGCAGAATTGCCCGTTTCTAGGCTCCAACCGTTCCAGAATTTTACCTCTGCGGCTGTTATTTGTCAATCCTGTCTCACCTTGCAGTATCTTCCTTCCCCCAGCTCTTTTCATCACTCTAGGTCCATTTTCCAGCTTTTTTCCCATCCTGATTTTCACTTATGACGTAGATAGGACACAGCATTGGCAAACACCTTGTGACATCTCTTAGTCTGGCTTTCATCTGCTCTGCTTTCAAGTCAGTCTGTACTCTGAGAGTGCCAAAGTATTGGTGAAAGCATAAGACACACCACTGGAAAACACCAACCTTTGGGGTTTTTTTGGTTGAGGAGAGGGAGATTTGCTAATCTTACTGGCTAAGCAGATGAATCGTGGCTGATATTTCTCTGTAGCGGGTACATTGGGGAATTTCAGCTCAAGCAGGTGAAGCTTTGTGAAGCCAGTGGTGCTCGGGAAGAGGCTCTCTCTATAGGCAGGGTTCAGCTCTAGCTTTGGCCAGCCTCTCCTCTGCTCTCGGACTTAATAACTAACATTTTTACTTTCCACATCAACGCTGTGCCCAGCTCCATTTGCACTGGTGTGCTTGCCAACATGATGCTTTGGCTTCTGCCATATCACTAGATCTGTCCCCTGGATTCTGGCACTTTTGCAGGGCTCACCTGGTACCAGCAGGTTTTCCGCACGGGCTGGTCCACCCAGGCAGGCTGTGCCTGGGCCTGAGAGCCATCAGGACAGATGTCGGGGGCTGCTGCGAGGTGGAGTGGACGATTCACCTTTAGATGCAGTGCAACCATCTTGATGAATCCTTGGCTTATTTTCTGCTCAAATTTGGCCAAATTCAAAGTCATGAATCAAAAAACCCACCCTGGTGAAATCTGTTCCAAGTGCATAGAGTTGTTCAGTGTGTCGCTGATTTCCTCTTCCGCAGCGAGGCACCGGCCTTTCAGGCACACCAAGTGTGAAGAGCCTCACGGTTTTCAAATTTACAGCTGCCCAAATCAAATGTGTGAACTCCATCGAGTCTGTTTGTTTAATTCTGCTTCATAATACACTTAACTTGATACCAAGTAAAAGAAATAATCTGGCAAAGACATCATTAAACGGTTTAATAAGGACTGGATGACTCATTTTGTTTGAATAAATGGATTATTTTGCAATCAGAAGTACAAATGTTAACCAGCTTTATTTTTAGCTGAAAATGTCAAGAGGTCAGAAACAATTAAAGCAACTGTAAGGTGGGAATCCCCAGAGTTTGTGTTCTCTTGGATTTACACCTTACTTAAAATGGCTTTTATTGCAGCTTAGCAACTTACTAACATTTTTCTGATAAGATAATGGGAAAAAACTGTGTAGGCATATTTACTGGTAAGAAGAGATGAGAGTCAAACAGAAATGGTGCATACTTTTCAGTTTAACAGAACAAGAGCTGAAAAACTGAGAGGACCTGTTTCTTCTTTGCATGATATGAAATGTAGTGATTGTATTTTAATAGGAACATCTCACCTGCTAAAGGGACTTCCTCATCAGCTCAAAATTCAGTGTTTTGAATATCAGCTACAAGCTATTTCATGTTGCACTGCCTCCTTTGAAAGCATACTATGTTTAGAGAAAAGAGAATGTAATGTGCAACAAGTAGCTAACTGCAGCTCAGCAAGAGCACTGCTCCGAGAACAGGCACTTCAGGCATCAGTAGGCACTGCTGTTGAACCTGTCCCTTGCAAGCCGCGCACTAGCAGGGCTGGAGGCAATTCAGGGGAAAAAGTTCCTTTTGCTGCTGCTGATGTCAGAGGGTTGAGACTTACGGGCCCCATGTAATTATGCAGCGTGAGCTCACTGATGCAGCATCTGGCCCAGCCTGTCCCTGGTGCACCTGACATGGCAGAGGCACCACCTGAGTCACCTGTGGGGCCAACCACCTCCTGTGGGGCTGCTCTGCCAGGGCTCACCATGGAGCTCGTGTGATCCCAGGAGGGTGGCAGGAGCCCGCAGCCCGAGGAGGATTGGACCCTACAGAGCTCTGCACCGCGGTGCTGGTGGTGCTGGGCGATTCTGGTGCTCGCGGAATGTTGCTCTGCCTGGTGTTGCATCAACACCACTGACTGAAATGTGCCTTGTGCTCCCGCTGCCTGATGTGCTTCTCATCCCCAGCTGGAATACCTTGGTAACCGCGTGTTCTCTGTAACAGGTCCGGATCGAGGACGACATCGCAGTGACAGCCAGTGGAATGGAGCTGCTAACGTGTGTCCCACGTACCGTTGAAGAAATAGAGGCTTTCATGGCAGAAGGCCAAAGCAGTGCCAAGTCATTTGACTGCCTCTCCAGCCAAAAGCAGTAATCTTCGGGATGATACTTACTGTCTCACACCAATCAGTCATCGATGTGATTTAATGCTGCACCATATAAAATAAAATGTGTCCAATTCTTAACAGCAAGAGAGGCAGGCAGGCTATTAGTTGCAATGATTCATTCATTAAAAATGAAGGTAGAAGTCTTCAGCACTTGGTATCCGCCCAACTCAAATGCTGCTACTTGCAATCAGCAGTTTACCAAGTGCCACCTGAATAACCCTGCTGCATTATTGGTGGGGCTTATACTTCTGTCAAATCTCAGTTCAGACATATCTTGCAATTAAATTTGAATTTTGATGATAGGGACTCTTTAAAATACAAAATGGATTATCTGAATGCTGTCAGAAATTGTAGCAATCTAAGTCCTTTTTTAAACTTCATCACAAGTATTGCAAAAAGCAGAAGAAAAATCAGCAGTTCTCAGTGGACATAATGACACTTTATAGTTTTCTTATGGATCTTATTTCAGTGTCGATGGAGTAAGCAGAACCAAATTTTTATTAAAATTCATCCTTGGCATCATTTATACTCACAGCTTTGTGTTCATTATGGTTTTCTGCACCCGTTCCTGCTTCTTTACCTGAGCTTTCTACCAATTTGTGCTCTGGAGACTTTGACCCTTCATTAGCCAGATTTTTCTGCTCTGGCTAGTGGGTGTACTGATCCTTCACACACAGCCCAATGCTTATTGGATTTGTCCATCTATTTTTTCCTTAAAAACCCAGATTGCTGTGGTGTTACAAGCCTTAGAAATTGCAAGAAGGGAGTATCTTTGCTGCAGGGCGCAGGGTCATTCAGCAGCATATGCTGTGCAGAATCACACAGTAACCGTCCGGTGTTAGTTGGTTCAGAATGAAATTGTGTAAGTTTTATTTGGATACACCACAAACATATTAATAATGATAAAATTATTTTCCATTCATGCAAGATTTACATTACCCAGAGAAGCCTTTCTTTACTGTAGGTGTTCATCAGCCTGCAGGAGAATAAATACATATCTTGCATTGTAAAATAGCACTAGTTGCTGTAACTACATAAAAATAATCTTGCTCACTTTCTGGACACATCAAAATTCCTGATCAGTTTTCAGGCTCTCTTGCGCAGTTTGCCTGGAGAGCCAGTTCAGAACATCCCTCTGCTGTGTCAGGGGGAACTGAAGTCACAGCAGGACATCAGGGCCTTTCTGGGTCTTACCATTTGCCAGATGTGGATTTTCCCACTGTGAAGGAATCGGCTGACTTGATCTCTGGGTTCTGTTGCTCACATCCTGGAGCTGGCATGCAGGCAGTGGGACTAACTGTGAGCTTCTGGGTGTCTGCAAGTGCCCGTCTTACATGGGGCGTACAACACAACATGGACTTGGATGGTGTTGCTGTCTTTGTGCCCCCCACCTGGGACTAGATTTAGGTCTGAAATAATTTCCTTAAAAATTGTCAAATATGTTGCTCTACAGAGAGCTCTTTTGGCTAATTGGGTTGATCTGTGTGATGAGAACCTGCTCTTTATTCAAAACAGCTTGGTGACCCATTGCTAAATAGGAAACTGCGTGTTGGAGACTGAAGAAACACATTGTGAAAGAATCCAGGGGACTTCGCTCCTTATGTTTAATGTCACTTTATTAACAAATGAGCCTATTTACATTTTTTTAAAGGTTGCTTGGCATTGGTTTGTAAGAGGTAAGTGCAGGAAGTCTTCACTGCGAAGGGGAAAGGGTGAGGAGGGGAGGGGGCACGAGATCCGCAGTTTGCATGTGCAACCGTGCTAATGCTTCCTTCTGTGGTGACGGCAAGTCTCTGAAATGTAGTACTTGTGCAGAGGACATCAGGCTTTTTTTTTTTTTTTTTGGTAGCTTTGCAGATACAAGAATACAGAAACTACACTGGCACTGCTCCAGACGTGTGTCCCCCTAAAATTTAGGAGGTTTTTCCAGTACACGGCAGTGCTCATGGCTTCAGCCTTGTTCCCGCTGCGTCCAAGTGCGATCCTGTGGCACGCTCTGAACACGCCTATGGGATCGCTCACTGCTTTGGGCACTCCGAAACCTGCCGTTGCTTGGGTTCAATAGCAGTTACTATTTTAAAGTAACACTTCACAGATTTTTTTTTTTTTTTTTTTAAAGAGAGTTTTGGAATTGTTTCAACTAAGCCATAACCCAAGTCTAGTTAATAGGCCTTTCCCTGCCTGTGATTAATCTTGGCAAATATTGGGCTCTGCTGCTGCAGAACAGGTCGAGCAATCTGGCGTGCTGCAGGAGGCAGAACTGGTTCTGCTTCGACATGTACCAGCGAACAAACCGTACCGCGAGTTCTGGGGGGAAGCACTCGCTCACGTAACTGGCTTCTCTGTTCTGCTTGCCCGAGATGTGAATGCGTTTCGGTCTGCGATGGTGTATCGTCTCCCATTTTCCTTCATCATTAGGCCCATGAACTCAGTGACTATAAATTTCGTCCTTCCTTCCAGAAGTCTGTTCAGTAATTTTTTTTTTTTTAATCCATTTAAGCAAAAAGTGAATTAGAACTTTTTTCTAAATCGGGGGGGGGGGGGAAAGGGAAATAAGCCTTTAAAAAAGGCACAGTGATATTTAATACACTTAAAATGTATTAATGGGGGGCAGGGAATACAGGTTATGGCAAATTTTTTTACTACATTAGGATGTTTTAGGCTGTTAGCTATCATGCTTTCCCAAATGCCTTTTCCCCTTGGTGCAACCAGACTCAAATAGAGTTGCACCAAAATAACAGAGGGTCTGAGCACTTCTGAACCGATGCATTTAAATTGCTTCAGCAACCTGGGGTTGGATGCGCTCTGGTTTATCTGCCAGGCCCATTAGGCTGCTGCAGCTACAGGGTGTAGTGAAAGTGGCAGAGCCTCCCAGTGCTCGTGGAGGCTAGAGTGGACACCTCTTGGTGGTACCGTGAGAAATGGGAATAAGGTTTCCTGGTGAAACGTATGGTGCTGTAATGCTCCTTCTTGCAGTGACGGGCATGGTATTGTGTCACAGACTATGGCTGCTGTTAGGAAAAATGTATCAAAAGAAAAACCTTCACTTTTATAGGCCTACACTGACATTTTCTTGTGTAGATGTGTATTTACTGCAGCCTTCCCTTAGGAAGAAGAGAGAATCGCCCAAGTCACCTCAGTATGAGTGTCCTCCAGTGCCTTGCAGTGGAGGGGTAAGATTGAGGCATTTTGCTGTCACACAGCCTGGGCTGCTCCACCTTGGGGCTAAGAGAGGGAAAGCCTCGCCTCTGCCTTGGGTCCTCAGGTGTCAGAGACAGCTATTTTGGCAGGAGGGGGCTTAGACTAATAGACTAATGACTTTCTTGCAACCAATCCCTCACTAAGGGCAGACTTAAAATTATAATTTAATATGGTCCATGGCTTCACATTATTGAAAGTGATGTGCTGCACACAGCCTACATGCTTCCCTAGGCAAACAAAGCCAGCGCGGAAAGTGCTAAGCTAGATACGTCATTGTGCAAACAAATGACTTTTCATAACTCAGTGGTTTTGTTTTAAACAAGAAGGAAGTGGAACTGGAGCTGTCAGGAGTAACAGGTGAAGAAGTCACCCTCCAGAGCATCAGAAAGAGTATTACTCCCACTCAAAGAGATCTAAGAAATCATTTTCACCAAAATGAGAAAAAAATACCAGAGCCCCTGTTCTAGTTATCAAGGGAGGACCCCACATCAGCCTGTCAGTCCAGCTACAGGACAACAGGGCCACATAGTCCCAATTCACGGAGCAGACAACCAGGGAAGAGACTAGCTCCTGCCTTTTGCACCCACAGTAGGTACACAGTCAACAAATGAGATGCTTTCAGGTCATCTTTTTCCTTGTAGTTTTTAGTGTTCTGTTTCCCCCACCACTTTAATTGCAGTACATTTTCAGTCTTAAATTTCCTTCTTTTTGTTGTTGTTGTTGTTGTTGTTGTTGTTAAATCAGGAATTAGGCCAAAACTGTAATGAGTTTCTGGTTCTATCCACTGAGTAAAGACCTGAGTGGAAGACACGACTGGAGACTGTTGTACTGATTTCTCAAAGATAGCTGCTTGGGGTGGACACCTCTGCATTTGAGGGAAACAGAAAAGGGACAGGAAAAATGAGGCCAGCACTAGAGGCAAAAGGTTTTTATTAGCTTCTGATATTTCAACCCTACTTACTTAAGCTGCAGCTAGAACCAAAAAACATAGCTTTGTAAAAAGACTACCGTAATCCAAAACAACCCATAAAAGTTCTCTGCATGTATTAAAAGTTTAAATTCAAAAAGAACTTTTCAAGGTTTCATTTTCTAACAGCATCTTCATAGAGATAATAACCAAGTTCTCTTCCTAAGTACAGATACAAGGCAAACAAGCACCCTACAAAATTATCTATGAAAAAAGGTAGTGTAGGAGGGAAATTAAGACAGTGTAATAATCCACTAGCCAGATACGCAGGTTAAATGTAACACAACCATCAATGAAATATTTCAAAATGAAAATAAATTAAGGTTACATCGAAGTTCCTGCTTTACTTTTCTTGTTTAAATCCTCAATATAGTACATACCACTGCATTATGGATCATGGCAGAGACTTAGCACTAGCATTAAAAAAGTTGCTGTAGAAAAATTTTCATGAAAGTAAAACCAAGACTGAAGATACTCCTTGACACAACTGTATGACGGCTATAGAAATTCCACTCAATCAGTTATTCAAACTAGGGCCGTTTATTTTTAAAATCACTGTGAATTTCTGTAAGGTCTTGGTTACAAATCTTGAACAGCCATGAAAATGGCGATCAATGTCAACAAGCAGTGATCCATACATTCTGGCTGAACAGATGCTGTCTTCCCCCTTTCATTGCTTAGCCAAGCTGCACATTTTGTTCTGCCCGATACCTGCACCTCAGCAAGAATGCAATTTCGCAGAGCACAGTTTTTTGGAGGCATTTTGACATTTTCTGAAAACAAAAATCTTGTTCTTGTAAGGCCCTAGTCACTGTGTGAGCAATGTTAACATGTGAACACAGGCTTAAAAGGCTTTGTCAACGTGCTGCTTTACCTGTTGTACATGATGTTTCAGACTCATTTGCCATTTGGAAGCCAACTGCCTGTATATATCATCATAGTATATTGCTATTATTTTTCTAGAAAACATCAGTAAGCATCCCAGCTCACTATTACTACACCCTCCCCGTTAACTGTAACTGGACAGGAAAGACCTAAGTGATGCTTTA